ACGACATACCGGTTCCAACCTCAACCAAATCCCTTATACTGGAGCGCTGACATTACAATCAGACGTTTATAATTCACCAGGAAATTTCAGAGGGCTAGATGCCTAGCATCTACGAGGCCGGGTGACTCCAAGGCCCCGCTCCACGACAACGTAGACTCGTCCACAAGCTCGAGACGCCAACATAATTTTCACTAAACTTTAACCTTCTACTTAATTTGACTCTAAACTAGCTCTTTCCAAAATATAAAATACTGTATCTCAAATATAAAATTCTATAACAATACTAATAGCGGACTCGATGGAATCTACGCTGGTCTGGAGACCAGTTGTGTCGTCACGTAGCTGTTTATTCTTGAGGTCAATAAGTTGTAACGGGGGTTTTTATTCCCGCCGTTCAATAGCCTTAATTTATCAATTAGATGTTAACTACAAATACGATGAGATTATTATTAAAGATATTAAATTTAGGGCGCCACCAGGTTGTTACAACGGTATCCTGGAAACCGTAAGAACATGAGAGATAATCTACAGGGTAGAGAGAATTAGGAAATTATCTGGAAATAAATAAAATCAATAATTCGTGGTTACCAATTATTTATTTTACAAAAATCACTCTCACACGCACTCTATAAATTCTATTGCCAATTTTTCATAACCGATTCCTTAATTAATACCCGTAAGACAGAAGGGGAACCGTACCATAATTCACGGGTACGAGGACCACGTGACCTCCAATTATTTACCAGTATTCCGAATTGCCAATAACCAATTTTAATAACTTCTGATGTAGAGGGAAAATCGTACCATGCATCAGAAGCTATTTATTCACGATCTCACTCTCTATCACTCATAACCCAACCAAAACTTATTGAAATTAATTATAAATTATCTAACCGAACTAACAAAATTATCCGGTGACTATTTTCAACACAATAGAATTACATGACGCCAGTAAAAGTGACCTTGTGATTTTAGACGCGCAGTTAACATACTGCGTAGTAACAAAACTAATTCACCACTTTCTTATGAAATTTTCTAATTAACGATCAGTAAATTAATTTTTACTTAACCGAAAATTATAAATAATTAATTAAATTAATTTAATTAAATTGACTATAAAATGGCGCGTAATTATTTTAACACAAACTCGCCTCAAGGTTAACTAATATTTTCCGGGTGTCGGACCACAGAATTTTCTAGCAATTTTATTTTAACCAATAATTGATTTAATTAATAAAACCCAATAATTATTTTAATTTATCAATCCAATTAAGCATTTAAACCTTGTCCAGAAGAGGAAATAAGACCGGGTGCTAACCACAGTCGAATTTTGTCCACGAGACTTGACAAAGTACCTTGCAATCGACAAACTGCTTCCCGCCAACTTACAGCCACGGCTTTGTTCTGCTGCTGCCTCGTCGTTGCTCGTACTCTCGGGGATTTTGTACTGCTTTCCAACCGCAACAATATTTTCTAGACGTACCAATTGGATTAGTATAATGTTATTTATTAATTAGGAACAATTAATAAATATTAAACATCGCTTGCGTTCCAATTAAGTGAACGTGCGACTGGATAATTACCTGAGTTTTCCAATTTGCGTCCGGAACGTTCGGTAGTACAACCTCTTCTGTCTTGTCCGCCGGTCGCTCCTTCACTCGTGCTCGGTTCCCGGCTTATCGTCCCTCTCCCCACTACCTAAAATGCCCGAAGATCGAGACGCACCAGTGCTGCGTCGCACCATTATCGATATCTGGTGAATTGTCGATGCAGAGTATATTTTACGAAAAGCCTGCGCTCCGTACTTCTCGTGGTATCGACAGAGTCCTGACTTCTTCAGACGAGGTTTTGATAAACTGCGGCTCGAACTCCTGGACGCTGGGTTATATCCACGGTATTTGCTTCTTCCACGCTCTTGGCGTAGATCGCTGGCTAAAGGCGCGACCTGCTGAGCCAATTCTGTGACTACCTTCTCGAGTGGCGAAGTTTCCGGCGTTGCTGAAGCAGTAGCTACCGTGTGCTTCTCTGGGTAGACTTCGTGGATTTTGTCGGCAGTTTTTGTCAGTTGGTCCAGTGTAGCGTTGTCTGGAGATACAGAGAGCAGTTCCTGGGTCTTCTTCGGCAGGTTAGCTATCCATTTAGCTTTAATTACCGCCTCGTCAATCCTTGGAGCGAGTGCTTTGAGGTGACAGAAGAACTGTATCGATGTGCGGTTTCCGATGGCTTCGCCATCTAGAAGTTTTCGCAGCTTCGAGGATTCAGAGGCTGAAAAACATTTTATTAGCGTTTCTTTGAGCTGCGTGTACGGTGTGACCGCTGGAGGTGTGACGATCAGCGCTTTGACTTCTACTACGGCATCTGTATCTAAAAAAGAAACTGCATGATTAAACTTTTGTTTCTTGTCGTCGATTTTATATGTCTCGAATCGCGCCTCCAGTTGCGCGAACCACAGCGCAGCTGTTTTTGGATTAAAAACTGGGGGCGGAGTGACGAACATCGGCGGTGGAGCAGTTTGTGCGACGGCTGAGGCAGCGGCAGTGGCTGCGTCTTTGTTGTGCTATGTCATTGTTTATGGAATGCACTACGTCACTACTAGAACACAAAAGAATCACACGAGTGTCACGTGAACACGAGAGAATTACGCGCGAAGCTCCTGCGCAGTAGTACGTGCTAAATTCCTGAGATTTCGTCATAAAATTTTTCACTAATTTAATTCGCACTAATGGTCCCTTAAATTAATTACCGATGCGGCAAAACGTCCAAATGTTGCCCGGCAATGCACCGGTGGTGATAATTTTCGCTAATTCAATTTATTTCACAATTTCACAACACGTGGTGATTGCGTAAGCCGGTAAAAACGCGGGTTATTCACCGTTTCACTCACTTTATATCACTTATGATCACGTCGGGGTCACCAATGTAGGACTTATGGTTGGGGAAAATCACTACTTAAATTAATAAACTCAAAAGAATTAAATATTAACGTGATATTTATTGATAACAAAATATGAGGAATAATTGTACAGAGCGAAAACGTGCGTGACGCAGTACGGTTGCTCGAGACTGTATGTATGTGTGTGTATGTGAGGCTCGCACCGGCGTCTACACACGAGTCTCGCCGAAGTCATCCGAGTCGGACTCAAAATTTTGTGTAGCTGTCGCTACATATATATTGTGACGTTATTTTCTGATAGGGGTCTATGTTAAGTGAACGTCACATGGCACAGTCCTATAAATCTGTCTTTTGATACCTCTAGTGATAACTCAAAATTATTTTATTTGGTTTGAGTTTATAATTAATTAAATTGTGATAATTCAGTGGTAGATAAAGTAGATATTTTGGGTATTAAGTAAAGCTATAGGTAGGGAAACAGTATAGTAGTTAAAGTCACGTGGTATATTCGCGTTATAGGGAAGGGGTATCGACCCGAACGATCGTCGTCGATCCCGCGAACAGATCACTTTTAGTCCGGCTTCCGCCGAGTAAAGATCAACTTGTGTTCCGGCCTTTGCCGAGTGAAGACAAACTTCTAGTCCGGCTTTCGCCGAGTACAGTCGCAGGTTACAGAATACAGCAGATAGTCTTTCATGGCTTCTCTTTTCAGCCATTTTGAGATACAGTTTTATTGTACTAAAGACTTCGTTTATGCTGCAAAGTGGCCAGTTGGCTCACATTGGGTAAACGCCAATTTACCACCTAATACTAGCATTTACTGATAATATGTAAGTAAGTCTAGAAATTAGATGATAATTGACAATAGTACGAAGATCGTTTAAGAGTGGCACTAGAACGCGTCCCCACCTTTTATGCTAATTTATGTACGCGGAAGCCGCGTGCAGCCAGTCTTTGTTCAACCCCCATAATGTATACTTCTGTAATTGATATATTTGTTAAAATATAAGTAATTATTTTTACTGTGTTACAACGTAATGTTCGGTATTTTATTAATTTACACGGTTTATTAAATAATAACGTCATTTTAATCTACAATAGTATGATACGACTCTGATTATTAGTTAACAAGGAGTATGTCGTACATTTATTAATTAAATCGACGCATATACGAGATAATTTCGCTTGGCATGTCGTGTACTCAAGAGGTCTCGAGTAGTCAGCCATTTTGTTGAGGAAAGCGTCGTTTCATTGTTCGAGGAAGATCCTGGTTTGTTGGTCACCTCGATTATTCGTCTGTTCCTGATCCAGTAACCGGCCCAGCTGCAGCCACGAGGAATCTACCACCGCTGGACAACGTTAAAGCACACCGAAGTGGTAGTAGTACCTGTTGTAAGTCAGGTGGTATATTGGTAACAATTGGACGCGGTATTGAACTTACTTTGAGCTGTATTTTTCAATATTTGTATTTGACGACTATTTAGCTCTATTTTCCATACTGAGCGATCAGCGAAGTAGTACGCGGTAAAGATTGGTTTTGTGTCGGAGCTGAACCCACCTTCCAACGAGTATCGCCACCCACGATTTGCCCTGGACCATATTCTTTACGCGAATTAAATCAATTTAGCTATTTGTAGCTTTGAAAGCTATCGGCTTGGTCCGCCGTAAAATCTAAAGCTACAGGCATCTAGAGCAGCATCGACTCTTATAAGCTACGGCTTCGAGTTGGTTACACTCCGGGTGTAACGAGCGTGTCTTTTCGGCCCAGTTCGTAGTTAATTATTGAATTAAAACTTAAATAATTTATTTTCGAGTACAAAATTATTTCACTCTACGAACAGTCGAGACCAGCCACGTTACAATGCTACAGCTATTATTATTGTTTTATCAATTTATATGTGAGTTACAGTATTTTATATTTTGGAAAGAGTTAGTTTAGAGTCAGTTTAAGTAGAAGGTTAAAGTTTAGTGAAAATTAAGTTGGCGTCTCGAGCTGGTGAACGAGTCTACGTTGTCGTGAAGCGGGACCTTGGAGTCACCCAGCCTCGTAGATGCTAGGCATCTAGCCCTCTGAGATTTCCTGGTGAATTATAGAAGTCTGACTGTAATGTCAGCGCTCCAGTATAAGGGTTTTGAGCTGAGGTTGGAACCGGTATGTCATTTATGGCATTTTTAATTTTAGTTGGCTACGGCGAGGATTGACCAATCTCGTTGGAAGTCAGCACTTGGTCAGATACGGTACGGGTGGCAGGCCACCGAAGGCAGCTGACCATGTCGGCGGTGGAAGCCAAATGGTCATTTTTGAGTATATCTTGCGATATTATTTTTGAGTTTACGTTCATGGTTCCAATCCCAAGCCAATCCCAGGAGAATAATCACCAAGGGATATCCTAGCTCGAGGAACGGTATGTTAGTTTTTATTGTTGAGTTTATCATGGGATAATTTTTGAGTACGTTTATAGTTACGGTTTTAGAGTCAGTTTACTTTTGGGATTTTTATTGAGTATTTTGGGTTTTGTAAAAGTATGGGGGTGATTGAGATTTATTATGAGAATCGTTAGAGCTCCAGGTTATGTTTTAGTTATTATTTTTGAGTTATCACGCTATATTGAAGTTTTAATTAATTATTATTTTGTCAGTAAATTATTCAGTTATATTTTTGTAATATTTATGATTTTGTATCAAGTCAAGTTTATGATTTTTGTTAGTCAGTTTTGTTAATAAATCAAAGATCAATCGAATATCTAAGTGTCTTAATAATCACATTAATTCTGAAGATATAAATTCACCCAGACATTACACTCATCGAGACCTTTCATTTGAGTACCCACATCAATTTTTCATATATTTTATAAATTTATATATATTGTATATAAATATATGAAATATATGCTTATATCTTAAAAAATGTCAATATTTAAGAAAGTATAGTGCAATTTAACAAAAGTCATTATTTAATAAAGGGAAATTTTTGTTTATTTATAATTCACAAGTCACGGTAGTCAGATAGTGACTAATCATATTACTAGCTGCGATGGTAATAATTACCATTATGATTGTAGAATTTACAATCAACATGATTTTAGTGGTGAACATATATGATGATTAAGTTTACTATCTTTAAGTTACCAGCCAGATGGTAATAATTATTATCCAGATGGTAAATGTAACTATCTGGATGGTTCAGTTAACAATTTTAATAGTTCTTGCAATTATTCATATCAAGAAGCATGTTTTTACAATACTTGGATAGTTGTATTGACCATTAAATTCTCTTCGTGTATTAAATACGAAATCAAAAGAAGTAATTCTGTAAAAACATTAAAAATAAAATCTGAAAACAGTTTATCTTGAAGACCATCCCTGGAACTTTCCGCTATATTCGAGTCCAAAACGCTCAAAAAATTTCTTACTACAGATTTTGAGCTCAACGAGCTTAAAAATACATATATTTTCAAGCTCGAAGAGACGTACACTTTTTTTTGACAATTTTAAATTGCAACTCCTTGAAAAAAATGTGACGTGAAATTTTAAAGTTTTGAAAAAAATAAAACTATTTTACAATTTTTTCGACACCGATATCTTTTCAATAAATTGTCCGACTTTGATCTAGCTTACGGTGTTGAACGCAATTTTTTGAGAACTACGAGATTACTTGTTGTATGCTAAACTATTTGATCAAACATTCTGAAGTGATGTTAAAAAAACATTTTTTTTTTATTTTTCGAAGACGATATATTTTATACCAACTATCCGATTTTGATGTGGTTTTCGTCGATCGAAATTGTTTTTTGAAGCTAAGAGCTGGTTAAATTTTGGAAGTAAGAAAAAGTCTTTTTATTTTTAAAAAACAATGTGAATGTCGCCGACTGCATCAAAAATTGTTAAATTGTTCAAGAGATATTGCAGTTTGAAATTTTCAAAAAACTGTGTACAATAACTACTAGCTTTTTGAGCTCCAAGTTTTTAAACGTTTTGAGCTCGAATATAGGAAGCGGTAAGTTCCTGGGATGGCCTGAAAAGTTAAACGATCATCTAAATTTTTTTTTGTAAAATATTAAACATAGGAGTTCAATTGTTACTTTTTATTAACAGAAATTCCAAAGTTCACAAATACTGGTGACTCAGACAAAGAAGAATTACGTGAAGATAATTTGGAAAAAAACAACACAGTTGACTCAACTGAAAAGGATCTAGAAGAAGCAGTTGTAAAGATACAAGCTGTGTTTCGAGGACACCATACCAGAAAGAGTATGAAAGGAACAGAAACTACATCGCAGCAAAAGCAAACCAAAGTGGAGAGTGAACCAACACAAGAACAGCTGCAGGAAGAATTTCGTGCGGATGACGTTGGTAAGACTTTCAATTTAATTTTATTTATACAAATGCAGAAATTTGCATTCAATTTTTTGACGAATAAATATGTTTTATTTTTTTAAAGTAAATAATCTTTTAGAAACGGTTGACTCTATGTATATGCATATGTGTATCCATATATGGAAAAGTCAACAAATCTCTATTGTCTATGCTATTTATATAACTACCCAGGTAGAATTCGCGAATGCTGCGAATTCTACCTGGTATTGTTTGTTCGCGAATGGTATTGTTTGGTATAATACTATTGATTCGAGCCTTGGAAAGTCTACCCCGAGACTTGCTCCAATAGTTTAATGTCGCTTTCAAACACAAATTGATCAGACCAAAAATTTTGAAGAAATTTTAAAAATTCACTTTTTCTGAATTTTTTATACAACGATAACTCAGGAGCCAATCAATCGATTTTGACGTCCTTGGCAGCGATCGGCGTGGTTTTTAGAGGTTAAGAGCAGATTAGTTTTTGTAGTTGATCGATAAAGCCGTTTAAAAGTTATTCCAAAAAAACCACCTTCAAAAACAATTTTTTTCATAGTATTTTAGAGATTTCTCAAAATTTGTCAAAATCTATTGGTCCGAATCGGTTCAAATTGTCAGGAAATTTAAGCTTGAAGGAACTCTTTAGAACGCTGTTTCGTAGGTTCCGATCAGTTTAGTCGTTCAAAAGTTATAAGCGGTTCACATACACACACACACACACACACACACACACACACACACACACACACACACACACACACACACACACACACACACACACACACACACACACACACACACACACACACACACACACACACACACACACAC